AATTGTGGACACCAAAAAATGAATCCAATGATATATAGGTTTTTTTGTTATGAATAATTATTTAAATTAAAAAAAACAGTTAAATTGATTATTTTTATTTTCTATAATTATTTGAATTTAAAAAGATGTTATTAAATGATAGAATTAAAAAAAAATTAAAAAAATTGAACACTACAAAAGTTAATTTCCTTTATTAGCTGTATAAATTATGATTAATGACTAATGGAAACATATTCGCCATGGGTGTTAACTTTTCTTTCTTGTCATAGTAAAAGTTTTATTACACTATAATTTGATTACTAATTTTTAAAATAAAAATATCAAAAAGTTATAAAATACATTTTATATAAAGATAATTATAAAAAAAAATTCGTTATCATGTTAGTGCAAATAATTTTTTTATTGTGTAAATGATTTGTTTAATATAAGTATTTATTTGAATTAAAACTTTTTCTACACATGTATAGCTAAAAATATTTTGTTTATTTGTTTTGAATAATTACTTAAGTTGGAAACACGTAGTTACAAATAAGATGAAACTAAAACAAATTGTTTATATAAAACTAAATTTTCTTTATTAACAGTACTAGTACTTATTCACTTTTTTTAATGATAGTAAAAATTAATAAAATTATTATAATTATTGTATTATTTATTATAATTATAAAATTTAATATAAATAATTTTATAATTTTATTATAAATAATTTGTACTTATTTTGTAGATAAATTTGTAATAAAAAATGGCTAAGCTTAAAACAATCAAATAAAAAATAATTAAATTTAAAAATATTACTTAGAAAAGTAAAATTAATAAAATATTTATTTTAATTTAAAAGTATATTTAAAGGATATAATTAAAAAATAAATATAGAAACAAAAATGAGAAATCTAATTATATAAAGATATAGATATATTAATAATGTAAATATAAATAAACTGAAAATAAAATTGTATACATAAAAGAATAAATATTCTTTATTAATAGTATAAATAGATATAGAGAATCTATCTCCTAAGATCTAAGTTATTTTATTGTAATAGAAATGACCTACAGAGGACATGTTTCCACTACTATAAAGAGGTTTTTTTCTTTTTTTTTTTGTAGGTTTTTTTTTGTTCTGAGAAAAAAGTTCAGAGGACCACCGTGTCGTTTTTTTCCCTCCAAAATATATGATTGATGGGTAGCTTGCACCGGCACCGGTTATCCCTAATAAAAATGAAAATTGTAATAAGCTTTGTTAAAATGCATAAAATGTTGCGTGTGATTGGGTAACACCTTTATAAGATCCCTAATTGCTGCTGTAGCTGCTGTTTAAGAACCACAACAGACTAAATCCTCCGGTGGTCACTGTAACCTTCTCAAACCCTAAAACTGTAAAGATCGCTTCGATTAGTCAAATCCATCGCGGCTGGTTCAGCACAAAATCCGTCTCCCTTTGTCGCTGCGTTTAGAAGCTGAATCGAGGTTTCTTTTGTCAATCACTCTCTCGCTCTTCATTTTTCAATGACACTCTGTATGAATCTGAGCCTTCTTTTTATTAGTTGTTGTGTTTTTGGGTTTTCATTTTCAGCAGAAAGAAGGGTTGCTAGTTTGTTTCATCTTATGTTGTTTTATGTAAACAGTGGAAATAAAAAAGAAAAGATGTTCATGTGAAACTCGATAGGAGAGTAGTTGTGTCCAGTTAATTATGGATTCGTAATAATGACAAAAAAATATCTTTTTTTGTATAATGTTTTTTGGGTTTCTGTTTATGTAAAGTTTCTGTTTTGGCTATTCAGTTGTCATTTCTTGGTGTGGTTTGGTCAATGTATGACCAAGTTTTTAAAAATGAATTTGCAGTTTTGATTTTGGCCGCAGTGTCAAGGTTTTTGGTCACCTGGGAAACCCCATTGCGGTTACAGTGTGTTCAAACATTTTTTCTGTAATTTCCTGCAGTATCAAGGGTGGAGTTGAAACCACATCTGCCGCCTCAATTTAAAACTTTGTTTAGAACACCATTTGGAGATCTGAAACTCTGTATGGCTGTTTTGGGCTGATCTCGTGTTGACTGACTATTCTTGCAGGCTTTTAGGGGAAGTGACTGAAAGAGGCTTTGGCAATAGATTGGAGTATAGGTTAGATTCAGTAGGTACATTCAATTAGAAAAATAAAGCTTATTGTAAGATATATAGAGACAAAGAAACGAGGATTTGCTGGGTGGTTATGTAACATATATTTAGACATATAGAAAGGTGTTTTTGCAGGGTGATTTTAGATTATCACTATTAGTTTGGCAGTGTATTTGGAGCCTCTGCATCTTTCTTGTCTAGGAGGTGTTTTTCCATTTTGGGATCCGAGATTGATGGATGTAGTAAATGATTTTCATATGGGAGGTTCAACCAGTACAGAGGATGTAAATTTGTCACAGAAGCGGAAAACACCAAAAAGGAAGAAACAAGGTAATGCTGTTGAGTATGAAGATCCTGATTTTTCACTGGATAATTCTTCATCAAAGATGGATGCTACTATAAATCACCCATTGTCTAATATCTTAACTTGCTAAATAATTGTAGAATTTAATTCGACAAAGCAGAATGAGAAGAGCAAAAGGAAGAAGACAACACATAATCCTATTGCAACACATAATCCTATTGAAGGCAATAATAGCGGCTGTGGCACTTCAGAGAATACTTTTTCAGCAAAAGATTCTGTTCCTGCATTGGATATGCAGTCAGGACATCCAATTCAATGTCTTTCCACTGATCCAATAACAAGTCAATCTTGTGAGGATGTGGGTTTTTGTCAAGGAGGTCATGAAGAAAAAGAGCAGAAGATGATAAATGCAACTGCAGAAAAAGCTTCCTCACCTGCATTGGATATGCTGTCAGGACATCCAATTCAATATCTTTCCACTGATCCAATAACAAGTCAATCTTGTGAGGAAATGGATTTTTATCAGGGAGATCAAGAAGAAAAGGAGCAGAAGATGATCAGTACAACTGCAGCAAAAGCTTCCATACCTGCATTGGATATGCTGTCAGGAAATCCAATTCAATGTTTTTCCACTGATACAATAACAAGTCAGTCTTGTGAGGAAGTGGGTTTTTGTCTGGGAGATCATGAAGAAAAGGAGCAGAAGATGAGCAATACAACTGCAGCTAAAGCTTCCACACCTGCATTGGATATGCTTTCAGGACATCCAATTCAATGCCTTTCCACTGATCCAATAACAAGTCAACCTTGTGAGGAAGTGGGTTTTTGTCGGGGAGGTCCTGAAGAAAAGGAGCAGAAGATGATCAATGCAACTGCAGCAAAAGCTTCCACACCTGCATTGGATATGCTGTCAGGACATCCAATTCAATGTTTTTCCACTGATCCAATAACAGGTCAATCTTGTGAGGAAGTGGGTTTTTGTCTGGGAGATCGTGAACAAAAGGAGAAAAAGATGATCAATACAACTGCAGCAAAAGCTTCCTCCCCTGCATTGGATTTGCTCTCAGGACGTCCAATTCAATGCTTTTCCACTGATCCAATAACATGTGAATCTTGTGAGGAAGTGGGGTTTTGTCAGGGAGATCATGAAGAAAAGGAACAGAAGACAATGGATACAACTGCAGAAAAGCAGCATAACGTTTCAGAAGTAAGCTGCAACCACACTTCTGTTGCAGCAAGTCCGGAGCCTTTTTCGAAAGAGTGTGTGCCAGAAGTTGTAAAATTGAGTCCTGAGCATAGCATAAATGATAACATTTCCAACCTGGAGGATAAGAATAGTTTTGTAAATGATACAATTATGATGAAGGAAGATGTTGATGACCCAGCAGATTATGAATTGTACGATAAAAACATGTGTTACAAAGCCTGTACAAGGAGACAAATGGTTGATGCTGATTGTAGGAGAAGCAGTGGTGACCATAGTCCTGAAAGTGCTAACAAGGAACAGACTTTTCAGGATCATGACAAGGATCATTCACACCAATTTTCTGATGGATCATTGAGAGTTGGCTTGATGGATGGAGAAACAAAACTTTCATTTGATCAAGTTACCTCATATAGTGGGGCTGCAGCTGAGGAAATAAAGTTGAGCACTGACATTCCTGTGGAGCATCTCGAAGCAGATGGTAGACAACAGGATGATACAGAGATTACAAGAAGCAATCTGTGTTGTGGAGGTGATGTTTCTGATTTAAGATTAGACATGGTAAGATATGATCATTTAAAGATTTTATAATTCTCATTGTTGGTTTTGCAGGTGAGCAAATAGAGTTGAACACTGACAACATTGATGAGCAAAGGTCTATGACTGTCTCATCTGCAGTTGGCATTCATGTGGAGCAAGTTGAAACTAATGGTAGACAGCTAGATCATGCGGAGATTACAAGAAATAATCTGTGTTGTGTAGGTGATGTTTCTGATTTAAGCTTAGACACAGTAAGAGATGGTCATTTAAAGATTTCACAATTCTCACTAGACAGAAGTGGTTCGGGGAACCCAAAGAAGAAGCTTCTCATCCTTGATGTGAATGGACTGCTTGCTGATTTTGTCAGTATCTATGACACTAGAACAAGATATAGGCGAGAACGAGAGCCAGATTTTATACTGAAAGGGAGAAAAGGTAACATGGTCAAATATCTGGTTTCCTCATTTCAAATTTCATATTTTGGTCTAGGTTGAAAATTAGTGCCATGTTATTTTTTCCTTTTGCAGTCTACAAGAGGCCCTTTTCCGAGAATTTTCTACAGTTTTGCTTTGACAGATTTCATGTAGGAGTATGGTCTTCTAGAGCCAAGTATTTTCCATTCTATGACTCTTTTTTTATTATTTTAACCTAGGCTTGAGTTGCAATCAAAGACTTTCCGAATTGTATTTAAGCAATAGAAAAGTGGTCTTTTTACATTTTTTTACTTTGCCACTATTGGCAGGTGCAATGTTGATGAAGCAATCAAATTTCTCATGGGGAAATCTGCATCCAAACTTCTCTTTTGTTGGGTAATCTGATCTATAACTCTTTTTGTATCTTTTAGTATTATTTTAGGGGCTTTTGGTAAGGTATATAAGTCTGCAATAAATAATTTATTTTCCTCCAACCTAGTCTTAGGAATTAGGTACATCTTCTATCTAGGTGTATTCTATTACAATTTTACTCTATATGGTCTTTTGTTTTATGTGGGCCAGATGTGGAAGGGTTATTTGGATTGATTTGTAATTCCCTGCATATCGAATTAAATAGGAAATTTTGTTAATCAAAACAAATTGTTAATTTAAAAAATTGCTGTCTGTCACGTATTTAATTTTTCTCATTTAATATCGTGTGTCTCTTCAGTACGGCTTGTTATATTTTTTCTTCCTGACTGACTCCTATGCCTTCTCTTCTGCAGGCTTTTCCATATCATTAGTTTTATGTTTTAATTATCAGTACCCAAAAAGAGCGTACATTGGCGGCATTTAAATATATGGAGTTCTTACATGATATTTTAATAAACGTCAATCAACAAGAAAATTATATTGCACTGCCAGCCTTTTAATTATGGCTGTCTTTTGTGAGTGTGTATGGATTTTGGTTTAGGCAAAGTGGATGCAGTGGTAAATCATAATTACATTTTAGTAAGATAGCTTGTGTTTCATCATTATAAATGCAGTTTTAGCCTGTAAATGGCTACAGTTATCTTCATTCCTTCTTGTAATTTCTCTAGACGCTATTAATCTTTTTGTATAATGTGATGTGCAGAATCAGTCCCACTGTACTACAACTGAATTCACTACTGTTGAGGATTTACACAAGCCCCTTGTGTTGAAGGAACTTAGAAAATTGTGGGAAAAGGAAGAAGCCGATCTACCATGGGAGAAGGGAGAGTTTAACGAGTCCAACACATTATTATTGGATGACTCCCCTTACAAGGCACTAATGAATCCTGTAAGCTCTCTTCTTTTGTCTTCCTTTTATGCAGTAAGCTTTACTTTCTGCTGTTGTGATTTCAACCTTGCAATTTATTTTCAGATGCATTCAGCTATATTTCCTTATTCTTACCGATACTTCTACACCAGAGACTCAGAATTAGGTAGGACAGTGTTCTGCTCATCTTCCTCTCCAGTATAACACATGTACCATTTTTCAAATAACAAATGCTTTAATGATACTGATGTGAAATTGTGTTGACAGGACCAGAAGGTGATCTTCGGATTTATCTAGAAGGGTTGGCTTTAGCTGAGAATGTAAGAAAGTACGTGTCAGAAAATCCTTTTGGGCAACGGCCGATAAGAGAAGCAAATCCATCGTGGGGTTACTACCGTAGAGTTATAGAATCAGTTCAAAAGAAGCGATCAGGCACTGCATTTGTTTAATCACTCTGATGAATGAAATGACGTTCAGTTTTGATTTAAAATAGATCAGTTTTGTTTACTTACTACTTCTTAAGCCAGAATGACTAGCAGCAGGGCATATAGTTCAATTGTTTTCATCATTTTTTTACCTTCTTGGAACGTTTTTGGTTTGCCGTTGGAAATCACTGACCACTGAACTCCAGTTTAGAGCTGTTCAAAATTGATTATTATGTAAAACTTGGATTAACAGAATAAACTAGAGTCTCATTTGAAGCTACTTAAGGTGGCATTTGGATCCTCAAAAAGAATATGCAAGTCTATTAGGTATTATTTCCTTCTTCCATACATATCCTTTTTGGACAAGGGAGCTAGTTGATTATAAAATGATTTTGAAAGTTAAATAAATTAAAATAAAATGATATTTAATGACTGAAATTTATTTAAAGCTTTAGAGGAGATTTCAGTCCATAGTAGTCATCATTTTCAAGGTAAGAATTACTACTGCTTTTGACTTCTTCAATAATTCTTCATTCTCATCATCAAACCCTCAGGAAGCTTTTATTTTGGGTTTAGACTTTCCCTTAAAATTCAGGTTCAACTCTTGGATACTTCATTCTTCTTCTCTGCAAGGAATTCAAGTTGAAAGTTCTTCCACCACCGATTAATGTCAATTGATCCCTGCATTAAGAAAAAAACAATGATATCCAAAGGCATCAACTCTATTCCTAGTAGCTGTAGTTTTTGGATGGTTTAGATTAATTCTAAAAAAAAGAAAGTATTTCCAATAACATTTCAAATCTAAAATTAAGAACAGAGATTCCATCATTATCAGTGGACTATGTTTCCAACATACGGAATTTGGTTTATCAAGTGTTTTGTATCTTTGTCGCTTGCTCAATGGAATTTGGTTTTTAGATTCCATTTCTCTTTGGACCACATTTGCTCATTGTGGTGAAAATCTGCACTCAACTCCAACTTCCTGCACGACGAATCAATTGTCTTGACTTCTTCTACTGTAACCAAAGCCCATAAATTTCAATTCACTTCTCCTCCCAATGCAAATATTCTAAATTCAAAGTTTTTAAGAGCTCTTTTTTCATACAAGTCACTTAAGTTTGATAAGTCATGTTGTATATCAAAAGGTTACCAATCAAAAAGTTGTGTATCTATTAACTTGTTTAAGATCTTACCATATCTTCAAAAGGATTTACAACAACTATTTTCCTTTCTATATATATTTAAATAAGATCTCTTTGAGGAAAAAATGTTAACAATAACATTAAAGTTCTTATATTCTTTATCAATCCTTTTGTCTTAGTTTGTGAGTAAGAAAGTTGCTGTGTTCATTAGAAACTTAAAAGATTGTTTTTCATCTTATATTCATCTTAAGACGTTATGTTATTCTTTTTTAGTAAACAAAACATGTGATCATTAACATCATTGTTACTCTTTTTTAATGAATGAAACATGTTATCGATAATATCATAATCTGTGTAAACAAAATATTTAGCCAAAAATAATTTAGTTCATTCATGTTTTATCGAAAAGATTACATATTTAAATAATACTTGATGTTTAATTAAAAGTTGTTACATTCAAAATAATGTTGTGTTTGATTGAACCGATCACAATTACATAAATAATATTTCATATTTAACTAGAATAACTTTGTTCTAAATAAAACTTTATATCTTTAATAGAAAGTTATTATAAATAATACTTTATGCTTAATTAGATTGAAATAAATAATAAAAACTATAAAGTTATATAGCTTTATGAGAGAGTCACTTTGTATTTGACATATCTCTCAATTTTTTTCTAAATGGATATTTTGGATCTTGATTTATCCATAAACTAATTGTGAGAGTAATTGTTTAGAAAAATTGGAGTCAATAACACAGAATAAAATAACTCTGAGACGTGATAGAAAGTTAAATCATGGAATCAAATCAACCAACAACTTTGGTTTAGTTTTTCCTATACTCAAACTATAAAAAGCAAAAGAAGTTGAACGAACAATTTAGTCAGCTTTTATTTAATTTGTAGTCCTACTTTACTTCAAATCCAAGATTGAATCTAAAATATCCCAATTTACTTTTCACTTTCACAGCCTTAAAAAGCCAAAGGTAAAGTAAAGTTCCAATTTCCCAATATGCCATCGTGCACTCCAACAAGATCAAAATCTTCCTCGTTGGCTTAAATTTTTTAAAATAACAAAGACAAAATTAATCTTTCCATAAACTAAAACTAATATAGACATAAGTTAATTTGTAAAAACATTTTTTGCAATTCAAAAAAAATCATTTTAACTTACAAAAAATACTATTTCGTTTTTTCTATTTATTTTATTTTTAATTATTTTTTCATCATCATAGATTTTTTTTTTCAATTTCATTCTAATATTTTGATCATTTTGACTTTATTCGAAATTTTAAAAAAATTAATATAATTATTTTCGTTAAATTAATGACGAGGGCATCATTATAATGACATATATGATTCCATACACATATCATATGTCAATCTTATTCCTAATCAATAAATAAACCTCGAGTGATTAAGTATCATTAGTTGTATTACAAACATGGCATTATATATCATTATAACAAAATCATTGTCAACTTGACAAAACAAACTACATCACATTGTAACTTGTTTTCTAAAAGGATAAAATTAAAGAGTCATTATAACAAAAACAAGTATATATTATTAAACATTTATAGAGTTGTTCAAACCCTATTCTTCTATTGAGCATGCACATTGTTTTGTTGAAAAAAAAATGAAGTTTTTGAGTTGAAGGCATAGGCATAGCTATAGGAAGTTTTTGTATAGTTGATTGAGGTGAATCTAATAGTGTAAAGAGATGATGATTAGAAGTGGGGATGCTTGGTTCCAAAAAGGAAAAGCATAATGTGGCAATGAAGTAGGGTTTTGGGTAATGTTAGAATGAGGATGGGTTAGTGATGATTGGTTTAGGTTAGTTGGTTGTGCCTGAAACACTCCAACATGTCACATGTGCCTTCCTTAACTTTGTGATGTGGGGTTCTTTTGCTAGCTATGCTTAACCCTCTTTGTCCCCAAATATCATTATCTCTTTCAATTCCTACCCACATAATTCCATGCAATCATATATACATCTCTTCATGCACATACATTCCAATAATTCAAATCAATCCTTCTCCAAATCTATACTTATCATTTCATTTTTCCAACATGCCTCATCTCCTTCCTAACAGCTGGACTCTTTTCATCCACCCAGAGAAATTTTTTTTATTAAGAATTTAAATGTATGATAAAGNTAAGCTTAAAACAATCAAATAAAAAATAATTAAATTTAAAAATATTACTTAGAAAAGTAAAATTAATAAAATATTTATTTTAATTTAAAAGTATATTTAAAGGATATAATTAAAAAATAAATATAGAAACAAAAATGAGAAATCTAATTATATAAAGATATAGATATATTAATAATGTAAATATAAATAAACTGAAAATAAAATTGTATACATAAAAGAATAAATATTCTTTATTAATAGTATAAATAGATATAGAGAATCTATCTCCTAAGATCTAAGTTATTTTATTGTAATAGAAATGACCTACAGAGGACATGTTTCCACTACTATAAAGAGGTTTTTTTCTTTTTTTTTTTGTAGGTTTTTTTTTGTTCTGAGAAAAAAGTTCAGAGGACCACCGTGTCGTTTTTTTCCCTCCAAAATATATGATTGATGGGTAGCTTGCACCGGCACCGGTTATCCCTAATAAAAATGAAAATTGTAATAAGCTTTGTTAAAATGCATAAAATGTTGCGTGTGATTGGGTAACACCTTTATAAGATCCCTAATTGCTGCTGTAGCTGCTGTTTAAGAACCACAACAGACTAAATCCTCCGGTGGTCACTGTAACCTTCTCAAACCCTAAAACTGTAAAGATCGCTTCGATTAGTCAAATCCATCGCGGCTGGTTCAGCACAAAATCCGTCTCCCTTTGTCGCTGCGTTTAGAAGCTGAATCGAGGTTTCTTTTGTCAATCACTCTCTCGCTCTTCATTTTTCAATGACACTCTGTATGAATCTGAGCCTTCTTTTTATTAGTTGTTGTGTTTTTGGGTTTTCATTTTCAGCAGAAAGAAGGGTTGCTAGTTTGTTTCATCTTATGTTGTTTTATGTAAACAGTGGAAATAAAAAAGAAAAGATGTTCATGTGAAACTCGATAGGAGAGTAGTTGTGTCCAGTTAATTATGGATTCGTAATAATGACAAAAAAATATCTTTTTTTGTATAATGTTTTTTGGGTTTCTGTTTATGTAAAGTTTCTGTTTTGGCTATTCAGTTGTCATTTCTTGGTGTGGATTGGTCAATGTATGACCAAGTTTTTAAAAATGAATTTGCAGTTTTGATTTTGGCCGCAGTGTCAAGGTTTTTGGTCACCTGGGAAACCCCATGGCGGTTACAGTGTGTTCAAACATTTTTTCTGTAATTTCCTGCAGTATCAAGGGTGGAGTTGAAACCACATCTGCCGCCTCAATTTAAAACTTTGTTTAGAACACCATTTGGAGATCTGAAACTCTGTATGGCTGTTTTGGGCTGATCTCGTGTTGACTGACTATTCTTGCAGGCTTTTAGGGGAAGTGACTGAAAGAGGCTTTGGCAATAGATTGGAGTATAGGTTAGATTCAGTAGGTACATTCAATTAGAAAAATAAAGCTTATTGTAAGATATATAGAGACAAAGAAACGAGGATTTGCTGGGTGGTTATGTAACATATATTTAGACATATAGAAAGGTGTTTTTGCAGGGTGATTTTAGATTATCACTATTAGTTTGGCAGTGTATTTGGAGCCTCTGCATCTTTCTTGTCTAGGAGGTGTTTTTCCATTTTGGGATCCGAGATTGATGGATGTAGTAAATGATTTTCATATGGGAGGTTCAACCAGTACAGAGGATGTAAATTTGTCACAGAAGCGGAAAACACCAAAAAGGAAGAAACAAGGTAATGCTGTTGAGTATGAAGATCCTGATTTTTCACTGGATAATTCTTCACCAAAGATGGATGCTACTATAAATCACCCATTGTCTAATATCTTAACTTGCTAAATAATTGTAGAATTTAATTCGACAAAGCAGAATGAGAAGAGCAAAAGGAAGAAGACAACACATAATCCTATTGCAACACATAATCCTATTGAAGGCAATAATAGCGGCTGTGGCACTTCAGAGAATACTTTTTCAGCAAAAGATTCTGTTCCTGCATTGGATATGCAGTCAGGACATCCAATTCAATGTCTTTCCACTGATCCAATAACAAGTCAATCTTGTGAGGATGTGGGTTTTTGTCAAGGAGGTCATGAAGAAAAAGAGCAGAAGATGATAAATGCAACTGCAGAAAAAGCTTCCTCACCTGCATTGGATATGCTGTCAGGACATCCAATTCAATATCTTTCCACTGATCCAATAACAAGTCAATCTTGTGAGGAAATGGATTTTTATCAGGGAGATCAAGAAGAAAAGGAGCAGAAGATGATCAGTACAACTGCAGCAAAAGCTTCCATACCTGCATTGGATATGCTGTCAGGAAATCCAATTCAATGTTTTTCCACTGATACAATAACAAGTCAGTCTTGTGAGGAAGTGGGTTTTTGTCTGGGAGATCATGAAGAAAAGGAGCAGAAGATGAGCAATACAACTGCAGCTAAAGCTTCCACACCTGCATTGGATATGCTTTCAGGACATCCAATTCAATGCCTTTCCACTGATCCAATAACAAGTCAACCTTGTGAGGAAGTGGGTTTTTGTCGGGGAGGTCCTGAAGAAAAGGAGCAGAAGATGATCAATGCAACTGCAGCAAAAGCTTCCACACCTGCATTGGATATGCTGTCAGGACATCCAATTCAATGTTTTTCCACTGATCCAATAACAGGTCAATCTTGTGAGGAAGTGGGTTTTTGTCTGGGAGATCGTGAACAAAAGGAGAAAAAGATGATCAATACAACTGCAGCAAAAGCTTCCTCCCCTGCATTGGATTTGCTCTCAGGACGTCCAATTCAATGCTTTTCCACTGATCCAATAACATGTGAATCTTGTGAGGAAGTGGGGTTTTGTCAGGGAGATCATGAAGAAAAGGAACAGAAGACAATGGATACAACTGCAGAAAAGCAGCATAACGTTTCAGAAGTAAGCTGCAACCACACTTCTGTTGCAGCAAGTCCGGAGCCTTTTTCGAAAGAGTGTGTGCCAGAAGTTGTAAAATTGAGTCCTGAGCATAGCATAAATGATAACATTTCCAACCTGGAGGATAAGAATAGTTTTGTAAATGATACAATTATGATGAAGGAAGATGTTGATGACCCAGCAGATTATGAATTGTACGATAAAAACATGTGTTACAAAGCCTGTACAAGGAGACAAATGGTTGATGCTGATTGTAGGAGAAGCAGTGGTGACCATAGTCCTGAAAGTGCTAACAAGGAACAGACTTTTCAGGATCATGACAAGGATCATTCACACCAATTTTCTGATGGATCATTGAGAGTTGGCTTGATGGATGGAGAAACAAAACTTTCATTTGATCAAGTTACCTCATATAGTGGGGCTGCAGCTGAGGAAATAAAGTTGAGCACTGACATTCCTGTGGAGCATCTCGAAGCAGATGGTAGACAACAGGATGATACAGAGATTACAAGAAGCAATCTGTGTTGTGGAGGTGATGTTTCTGATTTAAGATTAGACATGGTAAGATATGATCATTTAAAGATTTTATAATTCTCATTGTTGGTTTTGCAGGTGAGCAAATAGAGTTGAACACTGACAACATTGATGAGCAAAGGTCTATGACTGTCTCATCTGCAGTTGGCATTCATGTGGAGCAAGTTGAAACTAATGGTAGACAGCTAGATCATGCGGAGATTACAAGAAATAATCTGTGTTGTGTAGGTGATGTTTCTGATTTAAGCTTAGACACAGTAAGAGATGGTCATTTAAAGATTTCACAATTCTCACTAGACAGAAGTGGTTCGGGGAACCCAAAGAAGAAGCTTCTCATCCTTGATGTGAATGGACTGCTTGCTGATTTTGTCAGTATCTATGACACTAGAACAAGATATAGGCGAGAACGAGAGCCAGATTTTATACTGAAAGGGAGAAAAGGTAACATGGTCAAATATCTGGTTTCCTCATTTCAAATTTCATATTTTGGTCTAGGTTGAATTTTAGTGCCATGTTATTTTTTCCTTTTGCAGTCTACAAGAGGCCCTTTTCCGAGAATTTTCTACAGTTTTGCTTTGACAGATTTCATGTAGGAGTATGGTCTTCTAGAGCCAAGTATTTTCCATTCTATGACTCTTTTTTTATTATTTTAACCTAGGCTTGAGTTGCAATCAAAGACTTTCCGAATTGTATTTAAGCAATAGAAAAGTGGTCTTTTTACATTTTTTTACTTTGCCACTATTGGCAGGTGCAATGTTGATGAAGCAATCAAATTTCTCATGGGGAAATCTGCATCCAAACTTCTCTTTTGTTGGGTAATCTGATCTATAACTCTTTTTGTATCTTTTAGTATTATTTTAGGGGCTTTTGGTAAGGTATATAAGTCTGCAATAAATAATTTATTTTCCTCCAACCTAGTCTTAGGAATTAGGTACATCTTCTATCTAGGTGTATTCTATTACAATTTTACTCTATATGGTCTTTTGTTTTATGTGGGCCAGATGTGGAAGGGTTATTTGGATTGATTTGTAATTCCCTGCATATCGAATTAAATAGGAAATTTTGTTAATCAAAACAAATTGTTAATTTAAAAAATTGCTGTCTGTCACTTATTTAATTTTTCTCATTTAATATCGTGTGTCTCTTCAGTACGGCTTGTTATATTTTTTCTTCCTGACTGACTCCTATGCCTTCTCTTCTGCAGGCTTTTCCATATCATTAGTTTTATGTTTTAATTATCAGTACCCAAAAAGAGCGTACATTGGCGGCATTTAAATATATGGAGTTTTTACATGATATTTTAATAAACGTCAATCAACAAGAAAATTATATTGCACTGCCAGCCTTTTAATTATGGTTGTCTTTTGTGAGTGTGTATGGATTTTGGTTTAGGCAAAGTGGATGCAGTGGTAAATCATAATTACATTTTAGTAAGATAGCTTGTGTTTCATCATTATAAATGCAGTTTTAGCCTGTAAATGGCTACAGTTATCTTCATTCCTTCTTGTAATTTCTCTAGACGCTATTAATCTTTTTGTATAATGTGATGTGCAGAATCAGTCCCACTGTACTACAACTGAATTCACTACTGTTGAGGATTTACACAAGCCCCTTGTGTTGAAGGAACTTAGAAAATTGTGGGAAAAGGAAGAAGCCGATCTACCATGGGAGAAGGGAGAGTTTAACGAGTCCAACACATTATTATTGGATGACTCCCCTTACAAGGCACTAATGAATCCTGTAAGCTCTCTTCTTTTGTCTTCCTTTTATGCAGTAAGCTTTACTTTCTGCTGTTGTGATTTCAACCTTGCAATTTATTTTCAGATGCATTCAGCTATATTTCCTTATTCTTACCGATACTTCTACACCAGAGACTCAGAATTAGGTAGGACAGTGTTCTGCTCATCTTCCTCTCCAGTATAACACATGTACCATTTTTCAAATAACAAATGCTTTAATGATACTGATGTGAAATTGTGTTGACAGGACCAGAAGGTGATCTTCGGATTTATCTAGAAGGGTTGGCTTTAGCTGAGAATGTAAGAAAGTACGTGTCAGAAAATCCTTTTGGGCAACGGCCGATAAGAGAAGCAAATCCATCTTGGGGTTACTACCGTAGAGTTATAGAATCAGTTCAAAAGAAGCGATCAGGCACTGCATTTGTTTAATCACTCTGATGAATGAAATGACGTTCAGTTTTGATTTAAAATAGATCAGTTTTGTTTACTTACTACTTCTTAAGCCAGAATGACTAGCAGCAGGGCATATAGTTCAATTGTTTTCATCATTTTTTTACCTTCTTGGAACGTTTTTGGTTTGCCGTTGGAAATCACTGACCACTGAACTCCAGTTTAGAGCTGTTCAAAATTGATTATTATGTAAAACTTGGATTAACAGAATAAACTAGAGTCTCATTTGAAGCTACTTAAGGTGGCATTTGGATCCTCAAAAAGAATATGCAAGTCTATTAGGTATTATTTCCTTCTTCCATACATATCCTTTTTGGACAAGGGAGCTAGTTGATTATAAAATGATTTTGAAAGTTAAATAAATTAAAATAAAATGATATTTAATGACTGAAATTTATTTAAAGCTTTAGAGGAGATTTCAGTCCATAGTAGTCATCATTTTCAAGGTAAGAATTACTACTGCTNATATGCTGTCAGGAAATCCAATTCAATGTTTTTCCACTGATACAATAACAAGTCAGTCTTGTGAGGAAGTGGGTTTTTGTCTGGGAGATCATGAAGAAAAGGAGCAGAAGATGAGCAATACAACTGCAGCTAAAGCTTCCACACCTGCATTGGATATGCTTTCAGGACATCCAATTCAATGCCTTTCCACTGATCCAATAACAAGTCAACCTTGTGAGGAAGTGGGTTTTTGTCGGGGAGGTCCTGAAGAAAAGGAGCAGAAGATGATCAATGCAACTGCAGCAAAAGCTTCCACACCTGCATTGGATATGCTGTCAGGACATCCAATTCAATGTTTTTCCACTGATCCAATAACAGGTCAATCTTGTGAGGAAGTGGGTTTTTGTCTGGGAGATCGTGAACAAAAGGAGAAAAAGATGATCAATACAACTGCAGCAAAAGCTTCCTCCCCTGCATTGGATTTGCTCTCAGGACGTCCAATTCAATGCTTTTCCACTGATCCAATAACATGTGAATCTTGTGAGGAAGTGGGGTTTTGTCAGGGAGATCATGAAGAAAAGGAACAGAAGACAATGGATACAACTGCAGAAAAGCAGCATAACGTTTCAGAAGTAAGCTGCAACCACACTTCTGTTGCAGCAAGTCCGGAGCCTTTTTCGAAAGAGTGTGTGCCAGAAGTTGTAAAATTGAGTCCTGAGCATAGCATAAATGATAACATTTCCAACCTGGAGGATAAGAATAGTTTTGTAAATGATACAATTATGATGAAGGAAGATGTTGATGACCCAGCAGATTATGAATTGTACGATAAAAACATGTGTTACAAAGCCTGTACAAGGAGACAAATGGTTGATGCTGATTGTAGGAGAAGCAGTGGTGACCATAGTCCTGAAAGTGCTAACAAGGAACAGACTTTTCAGGATCATGACAAGGATCATTCACACCAATTTTCTGATGGATCATTGAGAGTTGGCTTGATGGATGGAGAAACAAAACTTTCATTTGATCAAGTTACCTCATATAGTGGGGCTGCAGCTGAGGAAATAAAGTTGAGCACTGACATTCCTGTGGAGCATCTCGAAGCAGATGGTAGACAACAGGATGATACAGAGATTACAAGAAGCAATCTGTGTTGTGGAGGTGATGTTTCTGATTTAAGATTAGACATGGTAAGATATGATCATTTAAAGATTTTATAATTCTCATTGTTGGTTTTGCAGGTGAGCAAATAGAGTTGAACACTGACAACATTGATGAGCAAAGGTCTATGACTGTCTCATCTGCAGTTGGCATTCATGTGGAGCAAGTTGAAACTAATGGTAGACAGCTAGATCATGCGGAGATTACAAGAAATAATCTGTGTTGTGTAGGTGATGTTTCTGATTTAAGCTTAGACACAGTAAGAGATGGTCATTTAAAGATTTCACAATTCTCACTAGACAGAAGTGGTTCGGGGAACCCAAAGAAGAAGCTTCTCATCCTTGATGTGAATGGACTGCTTGCTGATTTTGTCAGTATCTATGACACTAGAACAAGATATAGGCGAGAACGAGAGCCAGATTTTATACTGAAAGGGAGAAAAGGTAACATGGTCAAATATCTGGTTTCCTCATTTCAAATTTCATATTTTGGTCTAGGTTGAAAATTAGTGCCATGTTATTTTTTCCTTTTGCAGTCTACAAGAGGCCCTTTTCCGAGAATTTTCTACAGTTTTGCTTTGACAGATTTCATGTAGGAGTATGGTCTTCTAGAGCCAAGTATTTTCCATTCTATGACTCTTTTTTTATTATTTTAACCTAGGCTTGAGTTGCAATCAAAGACTTTCCGAATTGTATTTAAGCAATAGAAAAGTGGTCTTTTTACATTTTTTTACTTTGCCACTATTGGCAGGTGCAATGTTGATGAAGCAATCAAATTTCTCATGGGGAAATCTGCATCCAAACTTCTCTTTTGTTGGGTAATCTGATCTATAACTCTTTTTGTATCTTTTAGTATTATTTTAGGGGCTTTTGGTAAGGTATATAAGTCTGCAATAAATAATTTATTTTCCTCCAACCTAGTCTTAGGAATTAGGTACATCTTCTATCTAGGTGTATTCTATTACAATTTTACTCTATATGGTCTTTTGTTTTATGTGGGCCAGATGTGGAAGGGTTATTTGGATTGATTTGTAATTCCCTGCATATCGAATTAAATAGGAAATTTTGTTAATCAAAACAAATTGTTAATTTAAAAAATTGCTGTCTGTCACGTATTTAATTTTTCTCATTTAATATCGTGTGTCTCTTCAGTACGGCTTGTTATATTTTTTCTTCCTGACTGACTCCTATGCCTTCTCTTCTGCAGGCTTTTCCATATCATTAGTTTTATGTTTTAATTATCAGTACCCAAAAAGAGCGTACATTGGCGGCATTTAAATATATGGAGTTCTTACATGATATTTTAATAAACGTCAATCAACAAGAAAATTATATTGCACTGCCAGCCTTTTAATTATGGCTGTCTTTTGTGAGTGTGTATGGATTTTGGTTTAGGCAAAGTGGATGCAGTGGTAAATCATAATTACATTTTAGTAAGATAGCTTGTGTTTCATCATTATAAATGCAGTTTTAGCCTGTAAATGGCTACAGTTATCTTCATTCCTTCTTGTAATTTCTCTAGACGCTATTAATCTTTTTGTATAATGTGATGTGCAGAATCAGTCCCACTGTACTACAACTGAATTCACTACTGTTGAGGATTTACACAAGCCCCTTGTGTTGAAGGAACTTAGAAAATTGTGGGAAAAGGAAGAAGCCGATCTACCATGGGAGAAGGGAGAGTTTAACGAGTCCAACACATTATTATTGGATGACTCCCCTTACAAGGCACTAATGAATCCTGTAAGCTCTCTTCTTTTGTCTTCCTTTTATGCAGTAAGCTTTACTTTCTGCTGTTGTGATTTCAACCTTGCAATTTATTTTCAGATGCATTCAGCTATATTTCCTTATTCTTACCGATACTTCTACACCAGAGACTCAGAATTAGGTAGGACAGTGTTCTGCTCATCTTCCTCTCCAGTATAACACATGTACCATTTTTCAAATAACAAATGCTTTAATGATACTGATGTGAAATTGTGTTGACAGGACCAGAAGGTGATCTTCGGATTTATCTAGAAGGGTTGGCTTTAGCTGAGAATGTAAGAAAGTACGTGTCAGAAAATCCTTTTGGGCAACGGCCGATAAGAGAAGCAAATCCATCGTGGGGTTACTACCGTAGAGTTATAGAATCAGTTCAAAAGAAGCGATCAGGCACTGCATTTGTTTAATCACTCTGATGAATGAAATGACGTTCAGTTTTGATTTAAAATAGATCAGTTTTGTTTACTTACTACTTCTTAAGCCAGAATGACTAGCAGCAGGGCATATAGTTCAATTGTTTTCATCATTTTTTTACCTTCTTGGAACGCTTTTGGTTTGCCGTTGGAAATCACTGACCACTGAACTCCAGTTTAGAGCTGTTCAAAATTGATTATTATGTAAAACTTGGATTAACAGAATAAACTAGAGTCTCATTTGAAGCTACTTAAGGTGGCATTTGGATCCTCAAAAAGAATATGCAAGTCTATTAGGTATTATTTCCTTCTTCCATACATATCCTTTTTGGACAAGGGAGCTAGTTGATTATAAAATGATTTTGAAAGTTAAATAAATTAAAATAAAATGATATTTAATGACTGAAATTTATTTAAAGCTTTAGAGGAGATTTCAGTCCATAGTAGTCATCATTTTCAAGGTAAGAATTACTACTGCTTTTGACTTCTTCAATAATTCTTCATTCTCATCATCAAACCCTCAGGAAGCTTTTATTTTGGGTTTAGACTTTCCCTTAAAATTCAGGTTCAACTCTTGGATACTTCATTCTTCTTCTCTGCAAGGAATTCAAGTTGAAAGTTCTTCCACCACCGATTAATGTCAATTGATCCCTGCATTAAGAAAAAAACAATGATATCCAAAGGCATCAACTCTATTCCTAGTAGCTGTAGTTTTTGGATGGTTTAGATTAATTCTAAAAAAAAGAAAGTATTTCCAATAACATTTCAAATCTAAAATTAAGAACAGAGATTCCATCATTATCAGTGGACTATGTTTCCAACATACGGAATTTGGTTTATCAAGTGTTTTGTATCTTTGTCGCTTGCTCAATGGAATTTGGTTTTTAGATTCCATTTCTCTTTGGACCACATTTGCTCATTGTGGTGAAAATCTGCACTCAACTCCAACTTCCTGCACGACGAATCAATTGTCTTGACTTCTTCTACTGTAACCAAAGCCCATAAATTTCAATTCACTTCTCCTCCCAATGCAAATATTCTAAATTCAAAGTTTTTAAGAGCTCTTTTTTCATACAAGTCACTTAAGTTTGATAAGTCATGTTGTATATCAAAAGGTTACCAATCAAAAAGTTGTGTATCTATTAACTTGAACATACACAGACGCACAATAACTTGTTTAAGATCTTACCATATCTTCAAAAGGATTTACAACAACTATTTTCCTTTCTATATATATTTAAATAAGATCTCTTTGAGGAAAAAATGTTAACAATAACATTAAAGTTCTTATATTCTTTATCAATCCTTTTGTCTTAGTTTGTGAGTAAGAAAGTTGCTGTGTTCATTAGAAACTTAAAAGATTGTTTTTCATCTTATATTCATCTTAAGACGTTATGTTATTCTTTTTTAGTAAACAAAACATGTGATCATTAACATCATTGTTACTCTTTTTTAATGAATGAAACATGTTATCGATAATATCATAATCTGTGTAAACAAAATATTTAGCCAAAAATAATTTAGTTCATTCATGTTTTATCGAAAAGATTACATATTTAAATAATACTTGATGTTTAATTAAAAGTTGTTACATTCAAAATAATGTTGTGTTTGATTGAACCGATCACAATTACATAAATAATATTTCATATTTAACTAGAATAACTTTGTTCTAAATAAAACTTTATATCTTTAATAGAAAGTTATTATAAATAATACTTTATGCTTAATTAGATTGAAATAAATAATAAAAACTATAAAGTTATATAGCTTTATGAGAGAGTCACTTTGTATTTGACATATCTCTCAATTTTTTTCTAAATGGATATTTTGGATCTTGATTTATCCATAAACTAATTGTGAGAGTAATTGTTTAGAAAAATTGGAGTCAATAACACAGAATAAAATAACTCTGAGACGTGATAGAAAGTTAAATCATGGAATCAAATCAACCAACAACTTTGGTTTAGTTTTTCCTATACTCAAACTATAAAAAGCAAAAGAAGTTGAACGAACAATTTAGTCAGCTTTTATTTAATTTGTAGTCCTACTTTACTTCAAATCCAAGATTGAATCTAAAATATCCCAATTTACTTTTCACTTTCACAGCCTTAAAAAGCCAAAGGTAAAGTAAAGTTCCAATTTCCCAATATGCCATCGTGCACTCCAACAAGATCAAAATCTTCCTCGTTGGCTTAAATTTTTTAAAATAACAAAGACAAAATTAATCTTTCCATAAACTAAAACTAATATAGACATAAGTTAATTTGTAAAAACATTTTTTGCAATTCAAAAAAAATCATTTTAACTTACAAAAAATACTATTTCGTTTTTTCTATTTATTTTATTTTTAATTATTTTTTCATCATCATAGATTTTTTTTTTCAATTTCATTCTAATATTTTGATCATTTTGACTTTATTCGAAATTTTAAAAAAATTAATATAATTATTTTCGTTAAATTAATGACGAGGGCATCATTATAATGACATATATGATTCCATACACATATCATATGTCAATCTTATTCCTAATCAATAAATAAACCTCGAGTGATTAAGTATCATTAGTTGTATTACAAACATGGCATTATATATCATTATAACAAAATCATTGTCAACTTGACAAAACAAACTACATCACATTGTAACTTGTTTTCTAAAAGGATAAAATTAAAGAGTCATTATAACAAAAACAAGTTTATATTATTAAACATTTATAGAGTTGTTCAAACCCTATTCTTCTATTGAGCATGCACATTGTTTTGTTGAAAAAAAAATGAAGTTTTTGAGTTGAAGGCATTGGCATAGCTATAGGAAGTTTTTGTATAGTTGATTGAGGTGAATCTAATAGTGTAAAGAGATGATGATTAGAAGTGGGGATGCTTGGTTCCAAAAAGGAAAAGCATAATGTGGCAATGAAGTAGGGTTTTGGGTAATGTTAGAATGAGGATGGGTTAGTGATGATTGGTTTAGGTTAGTTGGTTGTGCCTGAAACACTCCAACATGTCACATGTGCCTTCCTTAACTTTGTGATGTGGGGTTCTTTTGCTAGCTATGCTTAACCCTCTTTGTCCCCAAATATCATTATCTCTTTCAATTCCTACCCACATAATTCCATGCAATCATATATACATCTCTTCATGCACATACATTCCAATAATTCAAATCAATCCTTCTCCAAATCTATACTTATCATTTCATTTTTCCAACATGCCTCATCTCCTTCCTAACAGCTGGACTCTTTTCATCCACCCAGAGAAATTTTTTTTATTAAGAATTTAAATGTATGATAAAGTAATAAGAGAGTTGAAACATATACTATAAAAAAAATACATTTAATTATTGTCTTAAAGTTTTGAATTAAAAATAATATTAATTCGATTTAACTTAAATTGAATCTTTCTGGTAAACTTTTCTTTGAGAAACCATCCAAAATAAATAATAAAATGAAAATAAAAAATATTGAATGATTTGTTTAGGTTTATGTTATTTAAGAAATTGATGAAGGACTCAAATGGGTTGTGAGCAGTACACTCCGTCCAACATATCCTATAAACATACTTTCTACTGAGAAATGTATATTTTGGGAACTAAAATGATTGAAAATAGAAATGAAAAACATATTTCGCTCTCCAAAAATAGATTTAGAAAGAAAATATATTTTATCCATCCACTTTAATTATATGTTTTGATGCAAGCCAAATTAATCTGATGTTATTTTTTAATCAGTAAGTATTTTATTTAAGTGTGTTCTCAAATACTTGAGAATGGTAGAGATTAAAAAATTTAATATTAATGAGTTATAAATTTATAAATAAGTGTATGTTGAGATCGAAAAATTATTTTTAATTCAAATCGTTAAAATAATAAATGAATATTTGTTTTATTAAAATATATTTTTGTCTCATTTATTTTTAATTTATGAGACTTTTTATTATTATCTAACACTCTTAAATTTATAATTAAATTCTTAACCTTTATCCAATAATCTAAAACTCCCCTATGATGGAACTTAGAGCACACCCACTAATAATTTATGAGATGGATGATAGAAAAGTTATGAATAAATGCAAATGCTAACAAACCAAAATTCCAATTCATTAAAAGCATGTTTATAGATAATATGAACACGTTTTAAAATACTATAAGGTGATATTTCTTTTTTTGTTTATACAAGTTAATTTTCATCTTTTTTTTCTTGATCTTTTTTTGTTATCAGTTGCATGTTTACATTATTTCACTAGTATGTATCTTTTTAGTCATCTATACAAATCTCTATTTACCAGTGATCATAACAGTATTTCTTGATTGTTCTTATGATATTTCTATGTGTAGATAAAGTATCTTACAAGATGGGAGAAGTTTCTCTGGTTAGGGTCTTGTGAGTTGTTAGATCAGGTAAGAGAAACTAGTTGTTTTAGTGTGGGTGAGTTTGATAAATCTAATGTTTTGCATGTTGATGATTGTTTTGTGCTTGATTGTTTTTGCTCGCTTTTGTGTGATTGAAAGAGTTTATAATCTGAGTAATTGGACAAATTGGTACAAGTTTAAAATTGTTTTGAACCAATGCATTAAGAAAAAA